TAACTTTTTGTTATTTTTATTGTATATATAGACATATGCATATACTAATATACATATACACATATACATACATATATACATATATGCATATACACATATACATATACATACATACATACACACATATACATATACATGCACACGTACATGCACAGACGCATATATGCTTACGATCCCTTAACTCTTTTTTTTTTTTTTTTTTTTTTCTTCCGTCGACTATTTCCATCCGAACCCGTTGGACGAGTTCCGCGCGTGCGTGTGCTTGACTAGGACCTTCAAGCACCCGCACGGGCAAAAACCGCCCCCGAAGCCAGTTTGTAAAATAGTCTGTCCTTGGCGACCCTCTGTGCAGCCTTTCCCTGTTGCCGATTCTGGCGAGACGGGAACGCGGGATCGGTGCCCTGATTGGTCGGAAAGGTGACTACACCATTCTGTTTACATCTCGCGCTGTAGACTTCGGGGCGATTACTGGGGTTAGTTTCTGATTTTAATTTTTCTATTATTTATTGTTTTTTTCTTTTTTATACATATACATATACCTACCTACATACTGACTAATACGCCTGTGCCCTGGAGCCTTCACCAGCGGTACCACTCCACTGGTGCAGGATCGAGCGCCGTCTGAAGAGGCAAGGATAAGGATAAGTCCGATATGCGAAGCTGAGCCTCGGCCGGGCTATGGGGGAGCCCGGCCTGTGCCGACTAATGCCGACTCGATCAACGTGTGTCAGCGAGAGCTGACGCGACAGGGCTTAGTCCTTACCCACCGCGGTGCCCAGCCACAGCAGTAACCTCTGGTCGACAATTGCAACTTCTCGCACTTGGGCGGGGCGCGAACCGCCGACCCCTCGAATGAGAGGCCGACACGTTACCACTGTACTAGCCTGGAGGCGTAAGAGGCAAGGGAGAGTAAGCGGTATAAGAGGGAAAGGAGGAGAAGCACTCGGGAACCACGGGGCAGGTGAGGACAGGAGAACGGAAGCGAAGGGAGGTCATATCAGGCG